TATTACATTCACTTATGTGCTAATACCTGTGGGAAAGGTATGAATCCTCTTATTCGCCCCCCAGCAATGAGTAAATAGCAGGACAGACTGGGTTCTATAGCCTTGGATGGCAACTGGTCTACCACAGAAAGAAACGGCAATCTACTGTGGGAAAAAATCTGCTTAGTCAGTCATGTATCAAAAGATACATTATCACTTAAGCATGTATCCCGCATGGCACATAACTGATGATGATCTTGCTTATGTCTTACCATTATGTGGGAGGTATTTCTGCCACATCCTGTATCACACACACACACAGAGGGTGATACAAAAAATGTTAATACTTTTATGGAAGTACTTTTATTAGAAAGTAGAATTGGGTGCATAGCCAAGTGATTAGAATGCATGCATTCTGACCATGGGAGCCAGATTTGAATCACACCCCAATTGATTTGTCCAAGAGGTGGCTTCTTGAAAATATTAGCCTGCCGGATGACCTCAGTGTGCAATACGACTGGGAGATGCCTGTAAACCATACTATAGGTTGACCCAATCTTTGTGGGTGAATTTGGATAGACCAAACTGTTCAGAAACCATCAATGGTTGATGGTAATGGTAACTGAGGGTTTGTGTGTACTGGCCTTGTTCAGTTACTGATCACACTAAGATAATGGTTAACCCTAGACTTGAAGAGGTTAAGATTCTAATGATTGGGAATGCATCCTCCTGGAATTCAGTTCCTCAAAGTAGTGGTTTGTAGGAAGCTGTTTGAGTGGAATTTTCTTCTTACTAATGAAATATTAAGGGATAGGTCAACTTAGTGTACATGGCATGATGCGTCTTAGCTAAGAGGGTTAAGAATTGGTAGAACTAAGGAATATAGATTGGCAGAACATTTTCCCTGAAAATAGCAACAGAGTAGTGAGAGGCTTGCAATGTTTCATCTGTGGAAAAGGGGCTTTAGGGTGGAAAACAATTCATCACCCACAAAGCCACATAGACACTTTTGAACTCTATTAAGATTTGAAGATTGGCATCTCCGACCCAGATACAGCAGTAGAACTCTATTTTCAGTCTGATCTGGCTCTTGTAAAAGGTAGAGGGTAAGAGGAGGAGTCAGGTACTTACTGAAGTGGTACAAGGAACCAACTACTTTTCCAGTATCTATTTTTATATAAACTATAATTGAAGACCAGCTTCCAAAATATAACATGCTTTTTTTTTAATACTAAAGTTTACCCAATACAAGGCTCAAGAGTCACTTGAGGTAGAGAGTTAATGCTAAAATGATTATGATGAATGAGGAGGTGGTAGGAATTGAAGATTATGAAGTTGTGGAGGATAGATAATGATTGACCCTTGATTTGACAAGGTTAAGATACAGACACGCAAAGTATACACCATATACATCAATAAGCCTGTAGCCTGATATGTACTGTATATAGTCATGTATCATGCGACTTTTGAAGACTTAATTTTGAAGCTAATTTTAAGGAGGTCGCATCATACACAAGATATAAAATTAGTGTATGTACTGCTGTCCCTAGCTACACCATTGACCAAACTATATATCTATTTACTGTAGTCAAATTAGCTTCAACATTAGGTTTCCAAAGGTTGCATGATACGCAAGTATATACACTAGTTATGAGCTGAATTTTGATCTGAAATTTTTAATGTATAATGTTCAAACTATGTAATTAGTATTCACCAGTTAATTCACAAAGGAGACCATGTTGATTTTTTTTAAATAATTTTTTTCATAATTAAGCCAGACTTATTGATAAATCTACATGAGGAATAGATGTTGTGTGTGGGGTGAATTTAAAGAGGAAATTCAAGCTAATTCTGCACCATGTGCAATCTGTTACAAGATTGAAAGTAAATACATTTTATTTTCTGCTTTGACCAGTTACATTAAAAAAGAAGCGATATTGTTGTTATTTAACATTTTGAACAAGCAATTGTCAGCGACAGTGAAACATTCTTATAAAATCAGCCAAGTGTATATTGAAAGGAAATTAAATAAATTTAAGTTTTAACAATTATACATATATATATATTTCTAAAGAATTAAAAGTGTCCAGCAGATATGAGAAAACAATTCACATTGGTCGTAAAGTGAATAAGTTTATAATATTGAATGCTGCCTTGTCAATAATACGACAAGCAGAATATATCTATGCAAAAATGATTCTTTTGTCTGTGTAGTTCAGAAATAGAGGAGTAGACAGATAGGTACATGGGCAGAAAAATTATGTATATAAATATAGGTAGGTATACGTATATAGGAAGTAATCCAAGATGTCAATACATCAGTCAATATATCCAAACACTAAATACAACAGAAATTCATACACACACACACATATATACACACCAACATACATACACAAATATCAAAGCACACATTTTATGCATAATACTCATGATAATAATACATATAATACAAATAATATATTTATAATGTATACGATATTTATATAATAGATATAATTATATTTATATAATAGATAATACATTTATATATATAAAATACATAATATATATATATATATATATATATATATATATATATATATATATATATATATATATATATATATATATAATAATTTGATATATTCAAAGATATTTAATATATCCATATTTGCAAACTTAATAGATACATATAGGACACACACATATAAATAGTCAAATCTTAAGTATACAAATAACATTAAATATGTACCTAACATATAGATGTAAAGTTTTATAAATGAATTATATACATTATATATATATTATAAATATATATAAAATGTACTATAAATATATACATAATATATTATAAATTAATTATATGGAGAGATATAACATAGTATACAAGTAGGTGAAAAACTCTGAATTCAAAGGTGGTTCATTATGAAAACAGTTTTTAGTAGGAAACAAAATTATTATTAACATTATTTACAATTGAACCAATCTCCTCATCTTTGTTATTACTAACACATTTCAGGTATGGTGCCCTCTGACTTTCTTTAGGTCTCTGTCGATCTGGGTAACCTTTGAGGTATTTCAACCCAAACACCTTATGGGGGAGATACATTTTTCTTGCTCCACTGTACATGTTTAGAGATATCACACCTGGTTCTTTAGAAGACCAGAGGCCACAACAGCTAGAAATGTTTTGATTATAAAAACAAAGATGATGACATCTTACTTACTGTGAATAATGTAAACAATGATAACTTGTCGTCCCAGAAATTCAGACAGAAAATTTAATTAATCATACACCAAGAACTAAACCATTTTTAAATTAATGTCCCACTTCAGTATTTACAATAATTCCTGGAATTGATGTAGAAGTGTTAATAAAATTTCATGTTTTCTTTATGAACGGCCTATGGGTCCAGTTTTTTTGCATCACTCTTTATATATTTGTTATGTATATCAAGACAAGACATCATGAACTGTTACAATTCACCTCAGATAGCTAAAAAGAAATAAAGAAATATTACTCCATTATTTTGTAAGTAATTTGTGATCAGATTTAGAAAACTAAAGAATGGTTAGTTTTTAATGCTGCGCTCTATGGTTAAAGAATTATATAAAAATAAATAACTTTCTAATTTAATTTTAAATTTCTAATAAGATATGTGAAGTAATATTTCTTTAAATTCATCAGACAACAGTTTTCTTCAATTCATTCCAAAGTTAAAGTGTGTTAGAGAAAATTATACAAAATTCACAAAACCACAACAAAACAAGCATTAGAAAAAGAAAAAAAGTGGTTAGACATGTTAAAATTAGAATCACAAGCATTTTGTACTTAAAATCCCCTCCAAATCAACCACCATTATTTTAAAATAAATAAATAATGCAAAAAAAAAAGAAAATCACAATATTTCTCTTGTGATTTTGTTGCAAAGTTTAAATTTAAGAAAAAAAAATGAATAAAATATGAAATACAAAATCTTTAAAAAAATAAAAAATTAGAAATTTCAAGTCCTGGTATCACCACTTTCAAGTAAGTGACCCAATGAGCCAAAAGACAGACAGACATTCAGAAAAAAAAATGGTAGCTTCTCACAATTTTTTACAAATCTTCAAGTTGTTGCATATCCTCTCCCGTTCGGCAATTGGCAAGTGAAGAAACTTACTTACATGGTCTTTATGCAGGGGCTGCTCACACAACACACACATGTAGCTCTGTTCCTGTTGAGAAGAGGATCTAAAACCATCTTCACACTTACCTTGTTGAATAATAGCCGCAAGTGAAGGACCCCTGCTTGATTCAGGCCCCTTTTTTCTCTGCCCCATTTCACCCTTTTTGACATCGTTCATGTCTGTTTTGGTCACAAGCCCACCGTGCTCACCCTGTTCATCAGCCATAACGTACATTGCCTTCTTCCGTTTCTTCTTCACACCCTTCTCAGAGTCAACACCAGAATAAGGGTACGAAGAGTTTATGTTCTTCTGTTGGCTGTCAATATTAAGCAAAGGCATGTTACTGTTTGCATTAGTGGCACCGCTAGACCCTTTTGACATTCTCTTATCACTGCCCATCATCGAACCCTGGATTGCATCAAGGTTAAGGAGATCTTCACTACGTGGTGTCATCGTCTCATTCCGCATGCAGTCCACTTGTGTTGGTTTGTAATTCGGCTTCAGGTAGGGAAACCCACCATCTCTCTCCGCAAGGCCCAGGCTGTAAGAAAACGCCCCATCCCTCTCACCTGGGACGTTCTTGCCAGAATCCTGGCTGAGACAGGGAAACCCAACAGCCCTGTCTCCAACGTCCTTGTTCTGATCCTGGGTCAAGCAGCTGAAGTTCAATTCCCGGTCATTCTTATCCTGATCCTGGTTCAACCCGGAGAAGGCACCATTTTCAGATGTTTCAAAACCTTTATCTCCAGAGGTTGACATGCAGGGAAAAACGGTTCCACCCGATCTAGCCCTATCTGCCCCATCCTTGCTCTGAATCTGACCCATGCAAGGAAACCCACTTCTTCTCTCGGAATTATCTTTATTCTCACCTTGAGGCTTCATGTAGTAGCTTCCATCCCGGTCTGCAACACCCTTCTGGCTGGGGTCAAGATAGAAGTCCTCTTGCCTGACCCCTTTGTCATTTTGGTTCAGGTAAGAGAACCCATCTTCCCGATCGTTGACACCTTTCTCACCCTGGTTCATGTATGAATATCCATCTTGTCTGTTTGTAATGTTCTTGTTGCCTGAATCCATATACTGGTATCCACCATCTCTTTGAGAGGAATTTTTCTGGGAGAGTTTCATGCATGAGAATCCTCCCTCACGATCATTCAAGGAGTTAGCTTGCTTCATGAGCATCTCAGCAGATGTAGACTTAAGCCTTCCACGACGACTCATTCCCAAAATTTGAGCAATGGCCTTTTTCCTTTCAACACGCAGCCTAGCATTTTCTCTCAGACGAATCAGCCGTTTTTGTCTTTCCTCCGGCGTTTCGATTTCGAGCCGAAGACGCTGGTTCCTCTGGAGACGCTGGAGCCGTCTCAGGCGTTCTGCTTCTGTCTCACTGTCTAGTCTTCGTTTCTGATTTATCCTTAATCGCATCAGCCTGGCTTCTCTCTCGGCCAGGGTTTCCGATGCTCTTCTTGCTCGCTCATAGGCCCTCATCTGCTCCAGCCGAAGCTGACGCGCCGCCAGTGACATGTTTGCATATCTTTTCCTCTGGTATTCTCTTTTGTACAATCGCTTTTGATACTGAGGATCAGTAGGGTCGTCGTATATCAGTCGCTTGTTGATCCGAGGAGTAATCGGTGAGTTGTCGAAGCAGCCATAGGTCGCACAGGCTGAAAAGTCTTCGTTTTGACAGTCGAGACAACCGTTCGAAGGATCAGAGAAAACGCTCGAGTCGCTGTCACAAAGACTCTCAAAGCCAACAATTTCGTCTGAACATGAGTTATCATAGTATTTTCGACCTTTCGGGCTGCGGGCATGGATCCTGCACTCGATAAAGTTGCCTGTCGGACGTATATCTTGTTCGGATAATGGAAAATACCAGAGTAATTCCTTGCCATTATGGGTAATCCAGAAATTCTTACTATCATAAATGGTACGGCTGAGGATGTCGCAGAGAGTTTGTGAAGGCTCGAAGCCAACATTGAAATCACGACCGGAGCTGACTCTAAAACTGATTTGTGTAGCGCTGACATTATTATTGTTGTTGTTGTTGGTATTATTATTATTATTGGTGGTAGTGGTGGTGGTAGTAGTAGTGGTAGTGGTAGTGGTGTTATTGTTGTTATTGGTATTATTGTTATTGTTGCTGTTATTAGAATTCGGCCCCTTCGCTAATTCATCATAGTTGCACCCAGCCATGGTTATTTTTCTCTCTGCTAGTAAACAACACAATACTAACAGACTATAAACAGGCCGATACCTTTTCTGGTATTTCCCTTGATCATTTTAGGTTATTATAATAATTAAAAGGCGATTGATTTACGATGGGAGTTGAAAATCCGTCTCATTTTTCTGTCCTCGCCGATCGTATATATACATATATATAGATACAATAATACATATAGTTAGATTAAAAAAAATAGCAGCCGTGTAAGGGTCAAATTTGTGTTTGTATAAAACTGGAACAGGAAATCTATTCGGCTGTGTAGTGTCGACCGACGAACAACCGCCGCGAAACAAGCGCCTCTTGTCGCAAGAATTTTTTCCAATCAAAACACGTTGATTCTTTAAAGGTTGAAAAACGGATTTTTCACACGACTGTGAGAGTGCAGAATTAAGTAGAAACATCCATCGGAATTCATTTTCAGTTCGTCATCCAACGACCTGTTCCACATTTTTAAATGTCCATTCAAGCCACTATCCAATATGGCTGTGTATATTTATATATACCCATGAAAACTTATCGTAAACACCAAGGAATGAAATATCTATCTTCGCCATAGAATAATAATAATAGTAGATGCTCCATAGCATTAGCTACACCGGGTCCTTGTTCGTCCTTTTTCGTCGTGGTAACAAAATCCTGAACTCGTCTTCTTTTTCAACCAAGGCCGCGTATATATAAAAATCCCCCGAAAAGATGCAAAGTGCAGATAAGCCGTGGGTAGTGGTAATAGTAGTAAGTATAATAGATAAATGTGGGAGGTAGTAGCAGCAGTGGAAACTACTTACTCTACTTACTTGTCAGGGAAAGATAGATAGAACTTAACATCGTCGTTTTTCTGCTGCCACAACATCATACACACACACACACACAGGCAGACAGACAGACACGCATTCACACAGACTCTTGCCTTCTTTTCCCTTGCTATATTTATCAATATCATTTGTAGACCTCAACAGCAAGTGTAGTAGCAGATTGCCTTCAAATTCGTCTTGCTTACATTCGCTCCGCCCTCATAGGTTTTTCGAGGAGGGAGATAGATGGAATAATAGATAGATAGGTAGGTAGTGGATGGGAATAGATAGGTAAGTAGATAGATAGATAGAGATAGATAGATATAGGTTTAATTTTTTATTTTATCATGCCCTCTCTCACGGAAACCATACAAAAGAACTTTTCAGATTTTCACCGGTTTCATTTAATTGGAAAAAAAACTTTGATGATAGTAAAGTTAAGAAAATAAATATATATACGATACGAGAATAAATAAAATTTAAAAATATATACGAGAAGTGATGAAAACTTCGTAGTCTGACCAAGATGAGATCCCCCCACCAAATTCTGAAGTTTTGTCATTTAATCAGATATTGAGAAATGGGTCGGGCTGAGAACTTTTGAGCACGCACCTACTCGTGTATATTTTAAAATTAATATTGTAAATGTGTTTGTGCATTATACTATTTGTCAGCTTATCAAATACAGATGTTTCTTTTTTATTTAAATTTAAATTCAACAAGCCTTAAGTAGTTCACGAAAAAAAAAGATGTTTACAAAAGTTTTTAACTGTTTTACTTTCTAAAATATTTCGTTTTCCATAAAAAATAATAATTCTTTATAAAACAAGTTAAAAGCAAAAAAAATGTCTATTTTTAAGACAATAAACGATATTTCATTCTTAAAAGAAATAAAATAGTTTATTATTTAATTTATCTACCTCGGATTTAAATCAATTATCTTATTTTAAAAATTGAAATGTGATGCATCATTGCTTTTTAAAATATTGTCGCGATCAAAAACGTGCCCGACATGGAAATAAATGAGATATTCTCTAAATTCTTATAACAAAACAATATTATGCTCTTTTTCTCCAAATTAATGTTTCAAAATAAATCATTTTTCACCTTTGATCTGTTTGATTATATTTCTTTTCTTTGTGTGAAAAAGTTTGAATATGTGATGACACACTTGGCTTTCTTTTATAAATAGATATATAGATAGAATGGGAACAAACATACGAACAAATAAGAATATAAGATCTTTGGGTAGCGTAGACATATAGACACGATACGAACTGACATTGATCGATCGATCGATGTAGAGATACATTATGCATAAATTGAGATAGATAGACACAAGAAGACATAGATTGCGAACAAAAATAGGTAGATACATCATATATATTAACATCGATCGATCGATAGAAATATGTTAGGTATGATGAATAAATTGAGATAGACAGATGGGTACAGACAGACGGATGTATTGGACGTATGTGTATTTAATTTACACATACATCCTTGCATGCATACATAGAAATAAAACATATATACGATATTACACAGTCTGGGTTAGATAGATGGATGATCAGTACGAATGAATAGACAGATAGGAGGAGCAGAGAATAAATAAAATAGACATTTTTCGTTTATTGAAACTAAAAAAGAAAGGTTTTAAAATATGATCAAATGTTCTTCATGTTTCTTCCACAGATTTGGGTTTTCATTTATTTTTAAGGTTTATTTTAAATGTAATTATTATTACGATCTCAAAGTGCCCCCTAAAAATGAAAATGACAATAAATTTTCCTGTCTGTAAAAGTTTGATGACACACACAGTCTCACACATACACACTTATACACTTAGAGAGAGAGAGAGAGAGGTAGAGAGGTTTGATAGGTATGTAGTCTAGGTTGCCTGCTCCTGCCTGACTGACTGCTTGAAAAAGAAGCCAAGATGGGAAGCACTGATAACATTTTGCTAGGGAACGTTGCTATGGTTTCGCTATCAGATTTTTGTCAAAGCCCATCGGAATATGGTGATAGATTTTTATCAAGTTTCTCTCGACTCATATTTGAATTTCCGAGAGAGAGAGAGAGAGAGAGAGAGTACGAATAGACAGAATGAAACACTTCGTTTGATGGGAGAAATATAGTTCTGCAAAGAAAAAAAAGCAAGATAGATAGATAGACAAACAAACAAGAGATAGATAGATGAAGAGAGAAAAGTACATAAAAGGTTATCCAATGTATGTATAATAAACTGCATATGATGAATAAATATTTCATATGCAATAATACATTTATCTCTAATTCTAATAAAATTAATTAAATATTATTAATTCTATAAATATTAAATTTAATTTATATCAAATTAATATGTGTGTGAAATATAAAGGCATTTAAAATCCTTATATATTTTACAGTTCTAATTATGTTCATGCTACATACATATATATAAGTTTTACTTTATATATATTTAATATGTGATAATAAATTTAACTACATATGCAAACATATATATATATGGGATAAATTTCTGTCCCTAAATAAGAATTATAAAATATTACAAGCTACTTATATATTTTTCTTTAATCAAATGCTTATTAGGTTCCTTACAATATATATATATATATATATATCTTACAACAATACAAACATACATTTAGAGAAACACATACATATATGATCTAACAATCTATTTATCAATCTATTGAAACCTTTAGTATCATTAATGTGTGTATTTATTCTGGTATACATTATGCATATTACATATATAATGTATCCATTGTGATTAGATCTAGTCACATACACACATATATAGAAAGAGGGACTATATATAAATATATGTTTATGCCTAAGTTTTATTTATATACATATATGTAGTGAGAGATGTATGCCTACATATTACAACAGATGTGTGTATACTGAACATATCTAATATGTACACTTTATATTAAATACAGATATATATGTAAAATGCCATATGCACTGCTAGATATTTAAATAAGATATACTTAGCATATACATAAGTTGTACATATGATTATATCTGTTATATATCTATCCATATTTTATATGAATAGTATATTAGTCATTAATATTTGGCAAACCTTTTACCTATATATATATATATATATATATATGTATGTATGTATAGAGAGAGAGATGACTAAAAATTAAATACAGAATTTTATTTGAAAAGCTGATAAATTTGGGCCTAGCCTTAATTATATTGGTAAAACTCTTATTTGAGTTTAAAAATGCTATTTTGTATTGCATTGAGCCAGATTCATTTTAGCTTTATTGATTCAACAACAACAAAAACAATTGCCTTTTAAATTCAAAATGAAAATAACATTTGATAGGCTTCTAAAAGAATATGAATGCATATTACACAGAGCTTTTGTTTTTCTCTGAGATGGAGAAAGTCACACTAAAATGAAAGTGAGATGGGTAGATATGAACAGCCCGAGATAGATAGATAGATAGATAGATACGAATGGGCCAAGATCAATAAGTAGATATGCACAAACCGAGATCAATAAATAGATATGCTTAGGCAGAGATGGATGAATAGATGTGAATAGGCTGGGGATGGATAGATAAGAACAGACAGGCAGGCAGGCAGGCAGGCAAGCAAGCAAAAGAAGAAACAGATTTTGATAGATACAATTACACATATAACTATGCCTACATCAAGATGGAGTGAGACAGACTAAAATAGCAAACATGCTAGATATATGCATACCTTCAAACATACACACATATATATATATATATATATATATATATATATATATATATATATATATATATATATACCTACAAATGAACAGGCTGTTAAGAATAGAGTGAAAGACTAGGATAGATAAAAACACATGAAGAAGCTGAGATCAATAAATAGATGTGCATAGGCTAAGATGAATGGCTAGATATGAATAGAATGAGATGGATAGATATGAATAAAGGAATAGACTGGAATAGACAAGGATAGATTGAATGATTGAATGATTGATTGATATGAACAGAACGATTCACAGACTGAAATAATTACTCATCTAAATTTAAAGACTTCCATAATTAAAAACGGAAATACACATACATTTGACAGATTGAACTAGCTAACTAGATAGATATGAATAGACTGAGATAGATAGATAAATATATGAACAGACTGAGATAGGTGAACACACGGAAATAGTAGATATCAATAGAGTGATATAGATATGAAGAAAATGAAATAGGTAGATACATAGAGAAATATGAATAGACTGAGATAGATAGCTATGAAGAGAGTAACATAGATATGAATAAATTGAAATAGATAGATACACATATAGATATGAATAGACTGAGATAGATAAATATATATGAATAGAATGACATAGATATGAATAGACTGAGATATGAACAGTGACAGATAGATATAAATATAGATGATATATTGAAAAACAAATTGAGAGTAAGAGAGATTGATGATTAGATTGGGATACATAAATACCAAGAGACAGACTGATATAATTTTATAAATCAATAGGCATAACTATACATCTCAATCAAAAATTTCCAAATTCTAAGAGGAACAGCATATTCACAGCCAATGACAATATTAGCATTCTCTGAACTCTTCTCAAAGAAAAATATTCTCTACAAAATATAGTTTTATATTTTCATTTAATTTTCAGTATTGTAATGATTGTATGCTCCCAATCACCAATGAATTATTATTATACATTTTATTTTCCACTTAATTCATGAGTTGCAAGAATATGCCAAATATATATAACAGAAATAGTTTGGCTTATGATAGCTGTCAACTAAATTTTCCCATAATTCCTTGTCTATGAATTTTTTCAAGATCAATGTTTGTGCAAGTTTATATTTCATTTTCTACAATAACTAAATAATATTATTGTTGAAACATTTTAAAATGATTACCTGAAGAATGAGAAGAGGTAAAAATAAGAATTTTATTTTTAGTTATTTTATCCCCTTGCAATCAAAGAAATGACTCTTTCCATCGAATCAAAAAGGATTTGATACTACACATTGACCTTGAATTTAAACATTATTATTACTCCACAAAGGTTACCTTGTACCATACTCAGTCTAAGTAAATAACACCCTTTGATTTTAATAAAACAGTCAAGAGAAAAATAATCTGACAGAACTAAACAAGATTCTTCTTTCTATGTCCCTGGGCTAAAAAGTATAGATTCTGCACTTTGATCCTGGCCAAAAGGTCAGGAATGGTATTTTGTACTATGCTAGAAAGATAAGAAAAAAATCAAAAAAGGATGTCAAACTATAAAGATTATAGATGAAAAAAAACAGGTTTAATATCTTTCTTTCTCTATTCTTTTGACTTCTATTTTTAACTCAAATCTTTAAAATGCATTTGATAAAATGATATTAACCAAACAAAGGATTTGATAATCTTATATTGGCATGGGGCTCAGGGGTTAAAATGAACAGTTGATTTACCCATACCTAAAAGATTAATGACAAGGAAACATACCAGTTATTTGAACAAAACAAAATAAGGAATTTATTCACAAATTTACATGCTTGAAGTTGTATCAGTAGCTCATATCAGGAAAATAAATCAGAAAATTTTAAAGTGCATAGTTTTAATGTATTGTCATGAAGAGGAAATGTTCATACAACAGACTAAATGATTTGACACAAAATAATATTAAAATGTTTAAAACAAAAATAAGAGAGAAGTATATATAAGTGCATACTTTCAAAAATGTATGAAGAGAGTTTGAAATACTTAGCTTTTTTGGATTGTTGAGAGAAAGTTCTTTGATGCGACACGTGCTTGGTTAGAAGCCAATAATATAAATAATATTACACTGGCAAAAACTTCAATGCTGGTTGTGAGGAACTGAAATGAAACCTTTCACATGACTTAAGACACTATTCTCTCATTAATTTATTTTTCTCCTCATTTTATATCAAAAGGAATTTTGCATAGGCTTGCTACTTTCTTTTCTTTCTTCTTCTTGGCTCAACTATTAATTTCTGTGACAAGGTTTTCATTGGTCCCAAAACAATTTCACATAGGCTCACAAATTTCTTTCCATCTATTTCTTCAGCCCCCTCCCTTGCTGATTTTGAAGGGAGTGGGTAAAGGTAATTATTATTATTCCACTCTCACTATGATTTCGTTAAAATTCCTTTATATACTATACTGATATTTACTTTCTGATACCAAAATGAAAAAATAAAAAAGACAATAAATGAAATTAGAAAATTAAATGAAAAAATTTATCTGAAATATGAGTTTTATTTTTTTAAAAAACACTTTTGAAACTTTTACATTCAATTCAAGAAAGGTCTTTTCTAGGTGTTGTTCATTTGATATCAACCATATCTACAACAGACCTAAACAAACTTCACTTTCTTAAAGAGTAAATATTACAGCTCATTTGATAAATATATTGATTGCTATCTAGTTGGTTTAAGTTCAAAGCAACAAGTTTAACTTAAGAAAATCTCTGGCTGCTATTTAGATGCTTAAGAGTGCTGAACCACATATCAATCCTCCTATGTAACAGTGAATGTTGGACAATTTCCTCTCAGATGAAGAGGAAACTTGAGGCAACAGAGATGTTTATTCTATGAAAAGATGCTGAGAAAGAGATAGTTGGAATTCTGGTAGACATAATGAGGAAAGAGTGCTTGGGAAATTTGACACTTACAGAACTTATTAAAAGCAAGAGGGGCAGAGAGAAACATTGAGTAACCTACCTAATAAGGTAGTGTAAATGGATGGCAGATCAGAGAATGAGAGGGATAGTAAGAAGATAAACATTAATTAGAGCTTCAAAGGATAGGAAGTTGGGAAGAGTCATGATCGTTTACATCCTAAGAAGATATAGCATAGCACATAGAAAAATAATTGAAGAGACGCCATTTGAAAAAAAAATGATTCAAAATCCATATATTCATAAAGACTTCTTATTTTCTGTGGGTCTGTTAAAGATAAGCTTTTAGGCACTCAGTTGTACAAATATGTTAATAACTTAATTTATTTTTTAAACTAAGTTTATGAAATATAAATTAAGAGTTTGTTTGCATGAACTCCCACAGAACGGTCTACACAGTCGAAATTGTAGAAAGAGAATTTTACTGAGCAGCTAAAAAACAAAAGATTCTATTTTTATTTTCAAAGGATAAAATTATCAATCACCTATTTATTTATTTATTTGATAGATAGATAGATAGATAGATAGATAGATAGATATGAATAGACTGAGATAGATAAATAGATATGAATGAACTGAGATAAATATGAATAGATTAGGATAGATATGAATAGAATTAGAGAGATAAAAGATATGCATAGACTGAGATAGATAGATAGATATGAATAGAATGAGATAGATATGAAACAACTGAGATACATATGAATAGACTGAGATAGATAGATAGATAGATAGATAGATAGATAGATAGATAGATAGATAGATATGAATAACCTGAAATATATATTTCCCAAACCCAGATGTTCACAAAAGGTATGAGACAAATTCACTAGCATTTCACTCACCAATCTGGCCTAGAAGGTAGATAAGGATACTGGTATAAATAGACTAAGATAAATTGATAGATAGATATGAATAGACTGAGACAGATTCTTTTTTAATCAATTCACCATAGCAAGGTGATAATGCCATCAAGATACAAGGGTTTACTGGGTGTGAAAGAGAACGAAAAGACTTTAGTTAGAAAGGGCAATAAAAGGACAGGGTTTCAGAAAGACAGAAGATGATGATTGGCATTGTATTTAAATTTTTGAAGCAAGAAATCAAAAAGGGAGTTCTATAGACAAGAAGTGTGAGAAAAGGAACTATTAGAATAGAACATAAAGTTGCGCCTAGGTAACAGTAAAACAATAAGACATAATTGCCAATGTAGTAGCACAGATAAATTTATGCAGTAAAGTCACCAAGTAGTAAAGCTCACCAGAATAATTGCATGAAATATTTGTAGAAAAGACAGAGGAAAGCCACATCACCTTAGTGAGAAAATGACTTAACTCAAGTATGCCAGGTCAGGATCGATTACATTACAGACCCTTCTTTGGATTTTGTCAAGAATCTCAAGATAAAGGTTGTTTCATTAAGATGGATCAAAGTCACCAGTAAATAAATCAGTGTTATTGGTGAAAATTTATTTATTTCTCTATTGGATCATGTTATTTAAGTCATGGCATTATGTGTGAAAAATAATATTGCCAAAATGTCTGCCAAATTTAAAAGAAAAAGAAAAAAATCATTAGACACTTAAAATTAATTCACATTAAAATCAGTCCAAGTTATTGAAACACCCTTTATATAATAGGAGCACCAGACCAAATATGGCATCAATATTCAATATATGGACAAATGTGCAAGATGGATTCTGATGAGAAGAATTGTCTGGCATGTCACAGTGAACTAATTTTCCTAGCAGTAGAAATAGCAGTTGATTCAATATAATCACTCCACTTCATGTCAGTGGAAAATATGAATCCAAGAAGACATAATGAATTGCTCTCTTGGAGGTTAGTAACAGCCATGCTGAAGGCAGGCAGAAAATGTTCAATGATGAAGATAAGAAACAGCATACGTCTAAGGATAGAGCCCTGGGAGATCTCTGCATTAATTTGAAATGAACTAGAAACATATATTCAACATGACCTTCATTACACAATTTGTTAGGAATGATTGGATTAAGTTAAATATTCATCCAGAGACACTGTAGCCTATGAGTTTGTGGAGAAGTTCAATGTGCCAAACACTGTTGAACACCCTCAAGATATCTAAAGCTACAGGCCAAGCTTTGCTGTTCTTATCTAAAGCCTAGTAGAAAAATTCAGTGACAGCGATTTATACATCAGCAATATGCCTGAAGAAATGGAAGTTATATTGTTTATCAGAAAGAAGGCCATCAGAAGTGAGATGTTTAACCAATTCAGTATTGATTATTGCCTCTAGTACTTTGCCAAAAAGAGGTAGGAGACTAACAGGGTGATGAATCATGGGAGGCAGAAGGTTTCCCAGAGTTGTTAAAGATAGAAGCAACAGAGGAGGATTCCCAATAAGCTAGAAACCAAGAAACATCGAGGCATTTATTGTCAGGTTTGGAGAGAACATGATCTAGTTCAGGAGTACATTTCTTTAAGACATCTGTAGGGATACCTTCAAATAGGCAAGCCTTTTTGTGGAATCTAGTTTAGAAATTCTGGCAAAAACCATGGACAGAGTTATGTGCATAGAGAGACTCGGTAGAGTCTCTGTTCTAGGGGAAAATCAGGCAAAGATACTCCTGAGGAGTGAAGCTGGATGGGAATATCTGAGCAAAGCATTCTGCTTTATCTGCAGTAGATGACAATACTTCAAAATGATTTAAGAGTGGAGGGACAGAGGATTTGCTCTTGTTCAGTACACTCTTACATGGTCACCAGTAATCCCAAGAACCCAAAAAGTGAGAGGCTATACAGTGTTTCATTTGATAGATAGATAGATAGATAGATAGACAGAGATAGATAGATAGATAGATAGATAGATAGATAGATAGATAGACTGAGATAGATATGAATAGACTTAGATAGATAGATAGATAGATAGATAGAGAGAAAGATAGATATAGAGAGAGAGAGATAGATGAATAGACAGAGATAGATAGATAGATAGATAGATAGATAGATAGATATGAATAGACTTAGATAAATAGATTAATAGATGAATAGACAGAGATAGATATGAATAGACTGATATAGATAAATAGATACTTAGAAATAGACTGAAACAGATAGATATGAATAGACAGATGGATAGATAATGAAGAGACTAGGATAGATAGATAGATAGATATGAATAGACAGTGATAGATATGAATAGACAGAGATAGATAGATAGAGAGATAGACATATAGATAGATAAATAGACAGAGATAGATAGATAGATATGAATAGACTTAGATAGATTAATAGATGAATAGACAGAGATAGATATGAATAGACTGAGACAGATATGAATAGACTGAAACAGATAGATATGAATAGACAGATGGATAGATAATGAAGAGACTAGGATAGATAGATAGATAGATAGATAGATAGAATAGATAGATAGATAGATAGATAGATAGATAGATAGATAGATAGATAGATAGATAGATATGAATAGCCTGAAATATATATTTCTCAAACCCAGATGTTCACAACAGAGATAAAAGAAAAACTCACTAGCAACTCACTCACCAATGTGGCCTATATGGTAGATAAGGAGACTGGTATAAATAGATTTACATAGATAAATATATATAGATAGATAGATAATGAAGAGACTGGGATAGACAGACAGATATGAATAACCTGAAATATAAATTTCTCAAACCTAGGTGTTCACAACAGGTATGAGAGACAAATTCACTAGCAACTCATTGACTAATTACCCATAAAGTAGATAAGGAGACAGGTATAAATAGACTAAGATAGATAAATATAGGTAAAGAAAAAAATACAAACATACTGAAACAGATTGAAATAGATATTTATGCATTTTTATATAAAGGACTTAGAATTAGATGCCTAAATTAATTCAAATCAACTTATTCTGTTTAATTCCAAAACAGTAATCTTATCAAAATTTCTCTCTTAATGATTTAACATGCATAAATGATAATTCTTGATAAGAAGAATTTAAAATGCAATGTTATTGCTGTTCACAATAAGAACATGAGACTAATTCCCTCATTATTTACACTATTTGTATCTGAATTACTGTCCTTATCTTTGTTGTTTTATCACATCATTTTGGCAGTTGTGACCTTTAGCCTTCCTCAGGTATATATCGACACCAGGCAAAAATCATATGTGGCAACCCAGACACATACCAACAAGAAATGATCAGCATCAAGCATACTTTTCAACTACCCAGAAAACTTGACATCAGTGTCTACAGGAGTGAACAAAATTGACTACAAGGATGACCAGAAAATTGCCGTAGTCTGTCTACCTTACATCAAGGGCTTATTGCAAAAGATTCAGAAGATCCGCAATCCATACAATATCAGGACAATATTCAGTAGGAATTCCACTCTACGAAGAAATCTCTGCTGAGTAAAGCCTAACACAGAGGAGAATATAACCAACAATTGTGTGTACTTGATTCCTTGCAGTTGTGGCAGAAAATATAAAGGAAACAGATTGCTCCATAAAAGTAAGGCTAGAGGAACATTGAAAAGAGGTCAGACAATGAAATTGGGCATAGCTGAATGGAGGGAAAGGAGTGGTCATCAGCCCCTGTGGAATGATATGAAAATACAAGACAAGAAAGAACACAGAGTTAGATGTCTGAAAGAATCAGCCCATATGCTAGGCTAGGAAGACCTCCTTAGTAGGCCTAGCATAGAAATAAATACAATATGGGAGCCACTAATAAAGAAAGAAAGACAAATGACAGCAAGTCTTCAACCACAGTAGTAATAAAAACATGGGCAGCAGCAGCAGTAGCACTCAAAACATGACATCCAGCAGCAGCAGCCTAATCAGCAGTGAAGGTTAGGTTTAAGCATCTAAGTTTACTCAGACTCCAGTAAATGGTAAAAAACTGTTGGTTTGTGAATTTGGTGACAGTGTTTGTGAGTTCAATCCCTGAGTCAGGCAGTGTGTACTTGCACTCAGTGGAAATTGGCAAGCAATAACCGAACAATACTAAATAAAATTAAGAACTGATATTCTTAGATATAAGCAGTGGAACGAGAACAGTCTAACCCCATAGATTAAATTCAGTTCAGAATTCCCTGTAGGGAAAATCAATATATACCTGAAAGCCAGAAGGTACAACAATCAAAATATGATAAAAACAACAAAGAGAAGGACAATAGTCCAAATATAAATAGTGTAAATAATGATAACTTCTCATGCCAGAAATTCAGATAAAAATTAAATCCGTCATATGAAAAATTACTATATAAGCAACTCTGGACTTTATCAATTAATATCAAAAAGTAGATGTATGACTTTGGGGGTTTATTCTTTTTGCCAGGATATAAAAACTCTCTTTTGCCTATTTTCTCAGGTGGAACACTTCTATATCTACCTGTCATCCAGTTATCTCACATACACATCCCAAGTTCAGATGGGTCAACCATCTGTTTACATGTTGGGGACAACCACTGATATCCAGTGAAGGTATAACTCTACACCTGGTGGCTAGGAGATTACCTTCCAAGTCAACCCAATGATCCACCTGGCTTCTCTGCCACTCTGGTGTGACAAAGTCTATTTTGGTATCATCTAGGGTGATCCCAGTACATAGTGGTATCATTACAAAACAACTTCTCTTAAAACTATGGTTCCCAAAGTGGGGCCCACATTTTTACAAAGGGAAATTCAAGAATGAGTTATTAACAGTGAATTTTTCTAGTGAGTCTGTGTAAGTATGAGTGTGTGCGAGTTAATACATACAGTGCATATACAGTATGTAGACATAAAAATATTTGTATGTATATACTTGTACAATTATGCATATGTACTGTATATAAGGAGGCACAGTGCAGTAATGGATAGTGGCTCAGATTGCAGAATCGGAAAGCTGAGTTCAAATTCCAGTAGAATCTATTACATTCACTTATGTGCTAATACCCTTGGGAAAAGTATGAATCCTCTTCTCCTCCCCCAGTTATGGGTAAATAGCAGGACAGACCAGGTTCTATAGCCTTGGATGGCAACTGGTCTACTGCAGAAAGAAATGGCAAACTATTGTGGGAAAAAATCTGCTTTGTCAGTCATGTATCAAAAGAAACATGATTGCTTAAGCATGTATCATATATGGCACATAACTGACTGACTGTATATAATATATATATATATATATTTATATTAATAACACAATATTTTTATATATATTGTAAAATTCTAAAATTGAATGATAATACTATTGCATATATACAGTCTCAAGTTCTTAAGGAAGGTTAAGTCAATGGCCTTTTAGGTATCCTCCACATGAATAGGAGGTCACTTTTTGAATATATATATATATACTCGACTCTCCTGTCGAATTCAACGTACGAGGGTCAAGCAGATCAGTTCCTAGGAAACCGACAGCCCGACAACAGCACATGAGATTTGATTATAGTGGTGAAGGTTTTGTGCAGGACCATCCACACTTTTTTGAAGGGCTGAATACAGAAAACCTGGTGCACTACAAAAATACAAGGTTCCCAAAATGACCCTCCAAAGGTTTTGAATTCAGAGTTGTCCTTTTCCTAGACCAGTTGCCATCCAAGGCTATAGAACCCAGTCTGTCTTACTATTTGCCCATAGCTGGAGGGAGGAGAAGAGGATTCACACCTTTCCCAAGGGTATTAGCACATAAGTGAATGCAATGGATTCGACTGGAATTTGAACTCGGCTCTTCAATTCCTCAATCCAAGCCGCTATCCATTACTCCACCGTGCCTCTCTCTCTCTCTCTCTCTCTCTATATATATATATATATATATATATATATATATATATATATATATATATTTATTATTATTATATATATATATATATATCATTATTATATTTATTATTATTATATACAGGGTGTGGCTGGTATTTGAGGACATACAGATTTAAGATTAATACTGCTTCCCACTAACTTCTAATGCTTTTATTTTTCAGAAATCAAGAATGAAAAACCCTATGATAACAAATGAAATGAAAAGGCATGCTGTGATTGTGGCATTAAAGGCTGATAATAGCGATTTGGATATTGCATGTTTCCTCAAAGTTGCAAGATTGTTTGTCCACAAGATACGAAAAGAGTTAGAAAATGCTGACAGTTTCCCAATGTCTGTATCAAAACATAAAACACATTCTGCATGTTCTGATAAAGTGAGAACATCCAAATCTATTCAGGAAGTCAAGCAGATAACTGATGAAAACCAAAGTCAATCAATGAGGGCAATTGCCAAAAAGCTGCATGTGTCTGAAAAAACACAGGTGTGTTCATGAAGACATTCGATACAAGTCCTACATGATGAAGAGAGATTAATTTGTGTCTGAAAAAACAAAAGAAAACTGTTTGAACAGATCCAAAAGGCTTTTAAACAAACATAAAAATCCTTCAGAAGCTGATGTCATTTGGTTTTTCAAGGATGAGAAAAATTTTGCTCAAGATCAAAAACTTAACAGAAGAAATGACGGATGGCTTTGTTCAGATCCTTCTGAGGTGCCAAGAGGGATGCTCACAAAATTTCCTTCAAGTGTTATGGTATTGGGTGTTGTTAGCAATGAAGGACATGTTATGTCATCACACTTTTTTCCACAAGGTCTTAGAGTAAATGCTGCTGCTTATATTGAGGTTCTAGAAACAGTTGTCAAGCCCTGGATTGACAACATATACAATGGCAGACCTTACATATTTCAGCAAGACTTGGCTCAATCCCAAAGGCTCTACAAACACAAGAATGGATGGCTGACCATTTCTATGACCACATCACACCCAACATTTGGCCTCCTAACTCTCCAGATCTCAATCCACTAGACTATTATGTGTGGAAAGTTGTTGAGAAGGAGGTTAATAAACAGCCTTATAACACCAAAGATTCTCTTAAAGCTGCAATAGTTCGAGTAATGTCTGATATAAATAAGGACCAATTAATCAGAGCTTGCAGCCAATTTCGACCTCGTGTAGAGGCAGTTATTGATGCTAGTGGTGGTTTTATTGAATAAAATTAAATAATAGTTAGCTAAATTTCATGTTTACTTGTTTGTAATCCAATATTAATTATATTCATTTGTTCAGTAAGTTTTTTACTAATCCATAAAATCTGTCCTCAAATACCAGCCGCACACTGTATTATATATTATTATATATTATATTATATATATATATATATATATTAGTAACACAATATTTTTATAAATATTTAAAATGATAATACTATTGCATAAATAGTCTCAGTTTCTTATTGAAAGCTAAGTTAATGGCCTTTTAGGCTTTCTCTACATGAATAGGAGTTCACTTTTTGAATAATAAGAATTATATATATGAGGTGGCGGGGGACATCAGGATTTTAGAAATGCTTAGATGAGGCATGGCCAAAAAAAGATTTGGAGCTACTCTCTTAGAATAAAGGTTCTTTATTGACATTAAATTATTTCCAAGGGTGACTCACAATTACTAATACTCT